AGGAAGGAATATCAACAATCTGAGATCTGCAGATGACACCGTAATACTATAATACTAGCAGAAAATCTCACAGAACTGGGACACCTACTAAGGAAGACCAAAGAGGAAATTGCAAAGGCAGGCTTAATGTTGAACATAAAGAAAACAAAAATAATGACCATCGAGGACCTTCACAAGTTCAACCTAGACAATGAAGAAATAGAAATAGTAAAATAATTCTCATACCTGGGATCAGACATTAATAGAAAAAGGGACTGCAGTCAGGAAATCAGAAGAAGATCAAGAATGAGGAGGGTGGCTATGAAAGAACTAGAAGAGAATCTAAAATGCAAAGATAAACAACTCAGCACAAAAGTTAGAATCATACAAGCCTTTGTATTCCCTGTTACCATTTATGGCTGTGAGAGCTGGCCAGTTAAGAATGATGATAGGAAGAAAATCAATGCATTTGAGATGTGGTGCTGGAGAAGAGGCTAGATGATCCTGTGGACAGTTAAAAGGACAAACAAATGGGTCCTAGAGCAGATCAAGCCAGAAACCTCCCTGGTGACCAAGATGACCAAACTGAGGCTAATCGTACTTCAGACACATCATAAGAAGAGAAGACTCATTAGAAAAGACAATAATGCTGGGGAAGGTGGAGGGAAGTAGGAAGAGAGGAAGGCCACATGCTAGATGGATGGACTCTATTAAGGAAGTCATCGGTATGGATTTGCAGGATTTAAGCAGAACAGTGGAGGACAGAGGGTCTTGGAGATGTCTCATCCATAGGGTTGCCATAAGTCAAGATTATCTTGAGGGCAGTTAAGAACAATGGAGATTATCAGATGGAGAAGCAAAGCATCTTTATCCCATCCTTAAACCATGATATTTGCATGATCAGGGGGAAGATTATCACATACCCATGTGCTTATCCTATTCTTCTCCCGTCCATAAAGACTAATGGACCTGTCATTTGGTATTAATGGAAACTCCCATCAATACCAAATGGCAGGTCCATTACTCTTTACAGATGGGAGAAGAACGGGATAAGTGTACAGGGGTGCGATAATCTTCCCCACAATCACGCAAATACCACAGGTTATGGACAGGATAAGGATGCTTTGCTCCTCCATCTGATAATCTCCTATGTCCAACTTGGCTGGCAACTCAGTCTACATGTAACAAATCCCTGGAAAGTTGCCTGTGGTGGGCCAAGTGTGGAAACACAAACATTATCATTTAAAAACATTTCAGGTGCACTGTGTTCATAAAACAAACAAACAAAAATACAAACGGAAAAGAAAAGAAAATCGAAAAATCCATCTTATGGCAATACCTTTAGTGAGCCAACCAAAAGGTACAAAATATATCATGATACCTCTCAAAGCTTCACAGGCTTCTTCATCAGGCAAAGATGTTAAAATAACATACAATGGGAAGAAAGTATTGTGGCTACACTGGCTATATTTTGTACATTACAGAAGGCATATGTAGATGAAGTGACATACACATGTGCATCCCATCTCTCAGGGCTTTAATATGAATGAGAACAGATCAATATGAGAGACAATAAAGAAAGACAATAAACACCCCTTTCCCCCAGAACTGTATTTGCATTTATCAAGTATGAAGTCACAGGCTTCTATGATGGAAGAGAATCATGTTGTAAACTATGCACACCATGATGTAATCAACCATTTCCCCCACACACTGCCTAGATGCTGTATGGATCGAAACAATTCACATTCTCAGCATCCTAGTTTGATTGTGTGACCTAGCATCTAATTGTTTCAACTATCTGAGACTGACTCCATCCAGCCCCTTCCCCTCTCCACAAAATCCACCCAAAGTCCTACTGTTAAAAAAAAAACCCTGCTGTTTAATCATACTATGTCAACCTATCCAATTTGTGAGTCATTTTACTGGCTATGCATATGTTATGAATATAGTACTGTGTTTAAACTGTTTTCTGTTTTCCCCCCTAAGGGCTCCCAGCTTAATGCCACTGTGATATTTTTATACAGGGGTGTAATACTTTGGCCATCCAACTGTTTTGGATTACAACACCCAGAAGCCCTAGCCAGCATAGTCAATGCGTAAGGGATTATGGAAACTTTGAACTAAAACATCTAGAGAGCCCCCACCTCTTGCATTGAAACCCCCAAAGTATATTGATTAAATGAGGCAGACCTATTTATCATTCTCAAATAGGATCATTTTTGGAACTTAAATTCAGCTGGCATCATCAATTAATTTGTGAGTTCCCAAGTAAGACATCACCAGCTTGATACAGTTGACTTGGGCTGTTGCCACACTGCAGAATTAATGTAGTTTGGCATCACTTAACTGCTATGGCTCAATGAAATGTAATCATGGGATTTGTAGTTTGTTGGGGCACCAGAGGTTTCTGAGAGAGAAGGCTAAACATATAACTACAAATCCCAGAATTCCACAGCATTGAATATGACAGTTAAAGTGGTGTCAAACTGTGTTAATTCTGCAGTGTAAATGCACCCTTGGATAAGTGACTTTCAGAATTAGGTACAAATTCGGTGCACTGTAGAAACCAATGTGCACACTAAAACAATGAAAACAAGAGTTAGCACAATAGAGAGGATGCTATTACAGACGGTTGAGGAGGTAGTCCTGTTTTCCCCCAAATGGCTATATGGACTACAAAGTGACTCGCTATAGACCATTGCCTCTTGTTATCAAGATTAATCAAAAGGTGGCAAAAAGTTACAGGAGAGAATAGGACATATGCCTGCACCACAATAGCCCCAAAGCACTGCTGATGTTGGCAGAATGCCCTAACAAACAGCTGTTTAAATCATTCAGAAATACATAATGACTGCTGACTGCGTTAGAAGAAATGCCAACAATTGTGTGTGCCTCAAATAATAGAAGGAAAGGTCAAGATTTCAACTAGATTTTAACTTGAGAAAATCTGCTGAGTTGTCAGGTGAAAAGAAGACAAGCCAGTTTCCAGCCAAGGAACCACAAATAAGGGTCTGGCACTCCTAAAACCCTCAGTTGAAGCAAAGCCCTGGCCCAGTGCCCTACTTTATAGATGACAGCCTTCTATCTGTAGGATCATCTATTCGAAGTATTGTCTAGTCCAATCCTGCGTAGAGACAGAGAACCAAACAAAAAAGAGAGAGGCCATGGAAAGTTGCCTTAGGAAGTTATCACACAGGGGCAAATCTGCTGGTTAATCCACACAAATCCCAAACAGAAACTGGATTTGTGCCCCGCGTTTTCACACGACGTCGCATAGAAACTGGACAGAAAGTGGACAGAAACTTGTGTTAACTGAGATCTTTTGAAATTCGGTTGTTTGGAGGAAATGCAAATGCGAAATTAAGGTAATTTCGCATTTACCGTAATGTGAAAAGCAAATGCGAATTTGGGAGCATTTCCCTGCTTTTCCCATGGTTCCAGTGAGCATTCCTCTATCTGCGCATGTGCAAGAAGCTCATTTCTAGTACATTTACGGGCTTCTCTCACTTGTGTGTGAATGTTAAATGCGCTTACTGTAAATTCGCAATTAAGGTAATTACGTGTGAAAGCTATCGCAGAATCAAGGTTTATTTTCCGTTTATTTTTAGAATGCCTCATTTCCACTTGATTATCGCTTTCTGGCTCACGTGTGATAACGTCCTTAAAGTTGCCCCATCAACAAGACTATCCAGGATTTGAACCTAGTGGCCAAGGGAAGAAGGATTTTTATCCCACTTTTCCTTATTTGGAAAGATCTGAGCCACTAACCACTGACCTGGGGTGCATATGGACTCAGAGTTCAGTTTATGTTTATAATGTGTATTTGTATAAAAGTAACAGGCAAGATCAAGGATGATCCACCATACCAAGATACTGTATATACTTTGTCAGGCATAGATTTTTATGGAATCATACCTGGAAAACATCTTTGATCAGAGACATGATGTCCTCGACACAACTCCCAGTGGTTTTCTGAACAATGATTTTTAAAGATGTTTAACTTTATCTCCAACAATCACAATGACATCATGTTAAACATTATTGTTGTGTGCCTTCAAGTCATTTCTGACTTGTGGAGAGACTAAGCCAAATCTATTGTGGGATTTTCTTGGCAAGATTTGTTCAGAGGGGGTTTGCTTTTGTCTTCCTCTGAGGCTGAGACAGTGTGACTTGCCCAAGGTCACCCAGTAGGTTTCCATGGCTAAGCAGGAATTTGAATCCTTGTCTTCAGAGTCATAGTCCAACACTCAAACCACTACACCACATTGGCTCATGTTAATCATACCAAAACATAAATGCTAGAATGCTAGAATCTATGATGGGCCCACACTTTTGGGATGGACAACATCCCTCCTTTTTTTGCAAGAACTGTAATAATCCCTGGGGCAGGTTTGTCATGTATACAGATGTGCCATGTATACTTAGCTTAATAAGCTTTGCCCATCACTTTTTCTTTTCTAAGACATCCAGTTTGAATTGGTACAGCAACATGGACCTAGGAATAGCCTCTTTTATATTTCTCCATCTGTTTGTAGATCATGGATGGGAATCATTCAGCCCTTCAGATGTTACTGGACTGCCCAAGCAGCCCAAGCCACCCTAGACTGCATAGCCAAAGGTAGGGGAAACAGTGAAGCATTGTCCAACAACATCTGGAAAACTGCAGGATTCATATCTCTGATCTCAGCCTACCTCATGTCAGGGATGATGGGAGTTGTAGCTCTTCACCTCTGGCTCTA